TAAATACATTTTTCTTATTAATTATTGAATAAAGGGTGTCCCAAAAATAACTGACATTTTAAATTTGCCGCCATTTTTTTCTTGGTAAAACTAGAGTAGAGATTTTTATATCCTGTCATCAGTAAACATAGATGTTAAGTTATGGAAAAGAACACAATAGAACAACGTTTACAAATTTTAAAAATTCACTTAATAAACGATGTACATTTTACTGAAAGTGTTCGCAGTTGCCGTACATTATTTGGTCATCGTAATGGATGTAACTATAATTTTTCCAACTTATACCAATAAAAAATGATAAGTATATAGTTCAATTATGTTAGTATTCGATGATGTAAAAAAAAAGTTAAAAAAAACAATTATTATTAATTTAGAATTTACAATTTCATTAATAATTTAATATTTAAGTACCGCAATGAAAACAGTACTTATTTAATAGAAAAACTTATTTAATAAGTACATTTTTCTTATTAATTATTGAATAAAGGGTGTCCCAAAAATAACTGACATTTTAAATTTGCCGCCATTTTTTTCGTGGTAAAACCAGAGTAGTGATTTGTATATTCTGTCATTTACTAATGATATATATTAAGTTATGGAAAAGACCACAATAGAACAACGCGTACAAATTGTAAAAAATCACTTAATAAATGAAGTACATTTTACTGAAAGTGTTCGCAGTTGCCGTACATTGTTTGGTCATCGTAATGGATGTAACTATAATTTTTCCAACTTATACCAATAAAAAATGATAAGTATATAGTTCAATTATGTTAGTATTCGATGATGTAAAAAAATGTTAAAAAAAACAATTATTATTAATTTAGTATTTACAATTTCATTAATAATTTAATATTCAAGTACCGCAATGGAAACAGTACTTATTTAATAGAAAAACTTATTTAATAAATACATTTTTCTTATTAATTATTGAATAAAGGGTGTCCCAAAAATAACTGACATTTTAAATTTGCCGCCATTTTTTACTTGGTAAAACTAGAGTAGAGATTTTTATATCCTGTTATCAGTAAACATAGATGTTAAGTTATGGAAAAGAACACGATAGAACAACGCATATAAATTATAAAAAATCACTTAATAAAGGATGAACATTTTACTGAAACTGTTTGTAGATGCCGTTTGGTCATTGTAATGGATATAACAGTAATTTTTCCTATAAATTAACTTAATGAACAGATTTTTTTTCTGAAGAAGCGTACGAGGCAACATATTGTTCGAGAAACATTCTGGAAAGTAAATCTGGGATGCCGTAAATTGTAATGAATAAACTTTTTGCAAAGTATAAAGAATCTCCCGAAGATAAATCACGCAACATTTATTATTGCAAAGCGGATCACGAATTGCACGAAGAAAACAGAATGCGATGTATTCTTAAGAGACCTTTACGAATATCCAAATACGTCAAATTAAATATTGCGTATATGCAACGGCCAAGAAGATGAAAGCATTTCGGAACCATAAAATATTGCTGCGAAATTAAATATTTACGCAAATCGTCCTTCTTAGACATGAAACAGCATTTGCAAATTGTACTGGTTTCTCAAATAAAAATAATCATTTGAATACAACAAATGTAGATCACACGTTGTTACGCCATATACATCGATTAATTACGCTGGGAATTACAGCAATTTCCCAAAAGCTTGGAAGCACTGCAAATTACGTATCTGACGCGTCAATTAAGCATTTCCATGAAAGGTTAACGAATAACGCAAACACACTAAAATAGTATACAATAACACAATTTACGCCGGAAAATCATTAGCTGCACGAGACGCACTCGGAATTAGCGAAACGTAATTAACGTAGGGAAACGCAGTTTGGATTATGTAATTAAAAAGGCATCCGAATGGCGCCAATTAGAGAGGAAGTTCGTTCTGAAAGAGCTAAAAATAATGGGAAGAACAAGTGCATAAAGTAAATAAGTAATTGATGTTGAATGGCCATTCGGAAGACGTAAACGAATCGGTGTGGAAATGGGCTTGTTTGAAACGCGCGAAGATTTCTTTTTTTTATTGTTTCAACGGCAGATATAACTTAATTCCTTAAACATTTGGTACTTAAGTGTGTTCGCATATCATCCAATCAATTGCTCTTTTTATGGTCTGACCCAGATACAATCCGATCTGAAGTAAACACGTCCGAAAGAAAATGAAAATGATGATGAACACGCAGCAAATTTTCTTTCAATGAGAAATATAATTACTTCATTTATCTTGAAAATACATCAATTATACGTTTATAAGATATTTTTTTATTTCAATTTGCACAAAAAAAAGATTTAAATTCATATTAAAAATTAAATATTTCAAAAAATGTTTAAATATCATCAATTTTTTTTTTATTATTACTTAAATCGCAACAAATATGATTTTGTAAGATTCATATCATATTAAAAAAGATATAAAAATATTTGTATTTATTTGAACTTTTAACTTGACTTTTTTTTTAAATAAAACTAAATATATAAACCGAATGAATCTTTTCCTCTGAAGATAGAACCACGGTATTTCATAAAATAAAAGTAAGAATTTTGATAATCATTTGAGGAGAATATATAAAAGAATGCAAGAATTGATGAAATTTTTAAAAGTATTCCATAATTTTTCAACTTTTTAATAAGCATAAAGCTTTGTTTATTTACTTCAAAACGAATTCAATTCAACGAGTTTGTTTCTAATACTTGTAGAAAGATGAAAATTAATGTTCAGTAGATCGAATTTGTTAATATTGTAAATAGTCTCTATAAATTAGTGAAAATAAATTAATTGATAGATTGGAATGTTAATTATTTAAAATATATTAATAAAAGTATAAAATGCTACCTGGAATTGCTGGAGGCAACAGAATTATTCGATCTCGATCTGCGACTCTTCAAACTGTCTCCCCGATTCACAACGCCCTTGCCGGTAATAGAGAAGTGCCTCAATCTGTAGTATTCCTCCTCAACGCCAGTATTAGGCATTGAAGCCACCCTGGACCTCTGCTGTGGTAAGCAAAGATAGTTCGGTCTACCGGACGTTCTACCAGGCATTTTAACCGACTGAGATCTATTATGGTGAGGACTGCCATAGCTGAAAGATTATAGAAGACGTTCCGCACATTAAAATAAAAAATAAATAAATACACATTAAAGAAGCAGCAGTTTGCAGAAAAAGAAACAAAAAAAGTAGAAAGCTTTAGCGAAAGTCTAAAAGCAGCGTAAGCGTTTAGTAAATGTCGATTCATTCGATTTGCTAATTAATGCGTGGAGCAGTGTGCGTAAATTACGACCGCTATTGATTGATTGCGCAATGCACAGTTTGGTGTTAAATTTCGTTTGTGCTTGTTTTTTTTTTTCGTTATTTCACTCAGAGTTTCATGTCTGAATAAAACCTGATACCGCGAGGAATGGCTAAGAGTAAAACAAAGACGATGATTTACGGCGGCAATAAATGTTTTTAGTTTTTCTTTTGTTTTTCGGGGGCAATTTGTGCACGAAGTGAGATCTCTCCGTTTTCATTGCAGCTTCATTGTAAACAAACAAGTGCTGAAATTCCTGAAATTCCACGATTCGACATTCATAAATTGCGTTCGGAGCGTGAATTTCTCCCCGATGTAGGAGGCTAATAGGATTCCACCAACATTGATCCATCATCAAACGTCTCTTGTCAAAAAGGAAAACAAGGAATAATTCACTTTACACATGATTAGCTCAACGTGTTACATCCGAAATATTAATTTCATCAATTTTCTAAAAAAAATCCTTACTAAATCAACGCTCAAAATTTAATACTCCTACATTTACAAAAGCCGAGAAACTGTTATAAATGCATATTAATATGTACATATAATATAATTAAAAATAAATACTCAAGTGATGCTTCAAGATTGTAATAAACACGTTAAATAATTCAATGTATTTCAGGCGTGAATCCATTAATGGAAAAAAGGAAAATCAATTTACGAAAGAGCTGATCAAATATGGACTTAGCACTTAATGTGGCAGGATTAAGTTCGATCGTAAGATGCGTTATAGCCTCTAACATCTACTTCTTTTTCGGGGGGTTAAGGATGTAATAAAGTACGTGCCCTGCGTTAGCAACCCGCAAATACTAAATGATTCACATCGACGTTTTATATTCATTCATTCTTCCTTCTTTTCGTGCCCTTCGCAGTGAAATTTCATTGCGAAACTGACCCACATACAATTTTTTTTTTAAGCTATAAATTATATAATTTCCAGGGATAACGTAATAAATACACAATTAATTGATTCAATACATCTTTCAGTCTATGATCCTTATAAAGTTTATTATTTAAAATAATTATTATTATGTTAGATTTCGTTCATAAAATTCAGTCACGTCTCTTTTTGAACGGTTTATTTTTTTAAAGTATTTTCCGTTGTAAATTGATTAATCTGTTGTAAAATGTAGAGTAATTTATGTAGTCATTTCCATTTCTTTTAGCTTACATAATTTCATAAAAAAAATTATTATTAATTGATAAATTAGTTAAAATCCTAATGCAAAGCTTTTCGTCTTTTAACATTTTATGTACTGTAAATGCATATATTTTGATCCACCTAACAATTTTGGACTTAAACGTCTATTTCCGACGTATTTCAATTATTACGGTTCTTGCGATAAGCCATTAAATCTTACGTCGTTCAATATACAATCTATTTTGGAATTCCAATCCTGGATTAATGTTCTACTCACAAGTTCTTATAATAGAGTTTTTAGAATTAACTCTCACATTTCCAACGTTTTACGTTGTTTTGGTTAATTAATAAACTATTTTCAAGTAAATCTTGAAGTAGAAGTAAAAGATGAGCGTTTTTACTACGAAAACCAAGTTTACAATACCGAAAATAATTTCGTTGTTTTAATTGTTTCAGGAATTTGAGTAATATTTTCAAAATTTCTGAAAATAAGCATTTTCCATTGAGATTTAAACAGTGTTTTATTTTTTAAATTCGTTGAAAATGAAATAATTCGTTGATGAAAAGTTATATTTAATGAAAGTTTTTAATCAACAAAAGAATTAAATTTTTATCACGTTCTTCCATTCGTATTCTTAATATAAATCGCAGGATTTTCTAACGTCTACTTTTAAATGTGGCATTAAAAACGCGGTGATTCATACTTTCATTTTGAGTGCTGGTTCATCGTCCTTTCGGAAGGATACAGAACGAGTCCTTTTATATAGTAAAAGTTGCCTGAAACAAAAGCCACGAAACAAGTGAACATAACAAAAGCATAAGAAAAATGCGAATCTCAGTTATTACTGAAGTTACTTCAGCTTATCTACTTAAAAACGATCTAATTAGGAACTTAATAGGAATATTACGCAAAAAAATTCAATTCAATTTAATATAATTACAGTAATTTGTTTTTACTGATAATTGTTGTTGAAATTTATAAATTATTTCAATTTTTATAGCCAATTACATAAATCAATTTTATAATAAAATTCATGAAAAAGTTGCTAAAATTTACACTTCAATATGAAGTTTAAATTAACGTAAATGGATGTTTTTTTTTATGATACAATTATACTGCGAGAAGTTAACTTTTTATGCTGAAACTACCAATGAAAGTGAAAAGTAAAAATAAATAGAGAAAATAAAGAGTCGTGGCTTTGTTTATTTTATGTTGAGCGGCTCATTGAGTGTTTGATCTTAAATAAGCTTTGCGCTTTTGTCGTCGCTAAGAACAATAACTGAAACACTTCTAAATATATCGGCGCGAATAAAACAAAACGCGATGCGATGGAAATAGTTGCGTGACTATTTATAATTCGCTCGAGCCTATTTCAACTACGTGCATAATGCACACAACAAAGCGGTGGTTTTCAGATAGAATAAAGAGAGTTTTGCTAAGAGAGAAATAAATACAACTAAGTTTTTCATATACTTTCAGATCAGAAAAGAAGTTTTTCAAACTGCAGAACAGTATAAAACCGATACCATCAAGGACAAACCATCACCGACAAATCATATCCGCGTATCAATAGCGCTGTAATAACCGAACCGACAAAAGCGCGCAGTAAACAAGCACGTCAAATTCATGCGAATTTGTATCTATAAAAAAAAAAAACCTTACCCAAGTGTAACCTAAGGAACAAGAGTGAATATGGAAGAGCCCATATAACTATTTTTTTTACATATTTTTAAAATGCATTCTAAAAAAAACATCTCGAACCTAAGGCGCTTTTATCCTTCGCGCTTTTGTCGGAGCGGATCACCCATTTTAATATGTAATACAAATCTCGATTGAAATATGAGACAAAAATGTATCTGAATGCACATGAAAATGTATAAAACCACTTAAAAAAATATGCAATTTTATAAATTCATCTCCAATATTTGATTTAATAAGCAAAGTAACAGAATCATCCGAGTAGGAGAGTGCACGAAAATCAGATTAATTTCGTATAAACGACAAAAAGAAAATGGAATTATACGAATTTAATTTCGAATGCAAATTGCAAAAAACTTGCGATTGGAAAATAACAAAAAGGAACAAGAGTGAATATGGAAATACCCATATTACCAAATTATATGTACCTATGTTTAAATGTATTCTAAAACCTAAGGCGCCATTAACCTGCGCGATTTTGTCGGCGTGCTTCTATCCTACGCGCAGTTGTCGGGTCACCTATTTCAATATGCAAATCTCGATTTAAATATCAGACAGAAATGTATTTGAATGCACCTGAAAATGTAATTTGTTTACAATGCATATAAAAGCACTTGGATTTAATAAGCAAAGTAACAGAATCATCCGAGTAGGAGAGTGCACGAAAATCAGATTAATTTTGTATAAACGACAAAAAGGAAATGGAATTATACGAATTTCATTTCGAATGCAAATTGCAAAAAACTTGTGGATGACGAAAACACATTCGCTGCGGTTGGAAAATAACAAAAAGGAACAAGAGTGAATATGGAAATACACATATCACCAAATTATATGTACGTTTGTTTAAATGTATTCTAAAACCTAAGGCGCCTTTATCCTGCGCGCTTTTGTCGGCGTGCTTCTAGCCTACGCGCTGTTGTCGGGTCACGTATTTCAATATGCAAATCTCGATTGAAATATGAGATAAAAATGTATCTGAATGCACCTGAACATGTTATTTGTTTTAAATGCATATAAAAGCACTTGGAAAATTATGCAATTTTATAAATTCATCTTCAATATTTGATTTAACAAGCAAAGTAACAGAATCATCCGAGTAGGAGAGTGCACGAAAATCAGATTAATTTCGTATAAACGACAAAAAGGAAATGGAATTATACGAATTTCATTTCGAATGCAAATTTCAAAAAACTTGTGGATGACGAAAACACATTCGCGGCGATTGGAAAATAACAAAAAGGAACAAGAGTGAATATGGAAATACACATATCACCAAATTATATGTACCTATGTTTAAATGTATTCTAAAACCTAAGGCGCTTTTATCTTGCGCGCTTTTGTCGGCGTGCATCTATCCTACGCGCTGTTGTCGGGTCACCTATTTCAAAATGCAAATCTCAATTGAAATATGAGTCTACAATGTATCTGAATACACCTGAAAATGTAATTTGTTTACAATGCATATAAAAGCACTTGGAAAATTATGCAATTTTATAAATTCATCTCCAATATTTGATTTTATAAGCAAAGTAACAGAATCATCCGAGTAGGAGAGTGCACGAAAATCAGATTAATTTCGTATAAACGACAAAAAGAAAATGGAATTATACGAATTTCATTTCGAATGCAAATTGCAAAAAACTTGTGGATGGCGGAAACGAATTCGCTGCGATTGGAAAATAACAAAACGTAATTCAAATCCGCACCCAAATCGATTTCATCAATTGCAATTGTGATTATCCAATTGTATCTATGCATCAACGCAATTCGTTTATGGCTGACCGAAAATTATTAAATTACCAAAAAAAAAAAATTTTTTGCTAACATTGATGTAAATTTGTTAATAAATGTCAAAAAGTAATTAGATTTTTAATCGATATATTAATTTTCAATGTTCATGTTAATTTGTTCATAATAAAACTTGAATCCATAGTTACTGTATTTTTTAATAATTGTATGCAACTGATGTTTATTATTATTAATTATAGAGGAAATTAATTGCAACTGAAATGCAAATCAAATAAATATAATTCAATTCAAAAACAATACAAATCATGACCTAAACTGATTTTATCAATTGTAATAATCCAATTTAATTTTAATTGTAACGAACATTTCAAGTTTTAATTGTAATTCATATTATATTTAGTTTCATTACATTTCCAAAAGCAGATATTTACAAATATTGATTTGTTAATAAATGTAAAAATGTATGCATTATTAATTATTGTAATTTAGAAATTTCATTTAATTACATTAATAAAACTAATAAATTAGATATAAAATTCAATTGAACTTTATAAAAGAACAACAGAAAATGCAGCAAAAATTTCAAAAATCAGAATAATATTTATTGGATAATTCAACTTTAAATTATTATTTTTTGTTTGTTTAAATAATTGTATTAAAAGAATTATGAAATATTATGTAATATTTATTATGTATTTTGGACGAGTAATTTAATCGGATTCTAAAGCAAATATTATTTTGGCACGATAGTTTTCGAAGAATGAAAAACGAAAATAAAATTTCTGATGAAAATGTGTGAGTAATGAGATGATATTAAAATTTGAAAACTGTACACCATGTCCTCAATCTTGTTAATTGCATAGAGCTACGAATAATTTAATTCACCGCTTCCTCCCTATCCAGTCGTCTAAGTTCATTACGTAATTACCGGAATAATTAGACGATAAATAAATGATAATCCATCATTTACTGTGTAGCGTTACGTAGGTATACTCTGGTATTTTAATAGATGTGTGTGTGTGTTTTATCCTCTCTTTGCTCGACATCCTGAGCTCTTCACTGTTGATACAACCGTGGAGAACGGACTGGGAATCCAATTAACATTCGTTTCGGGAATAAATCGTGCGGACGTGCAAAAGTTCAAGGAAATACCAAAAATTTATATAAAATAATCGTAATAACAAGGAAAGTATAGCGCGTATAACTATAGCGTTGAACGATTTGTCATCATAGCAGAGAAATCTATTTTCAGTCGCGGAGAGCAGTGTCAAGGCCAACGGCGACCAGAGAATCCAAATAAACAATACAAAAATTTGATGAAAACTACTTTAATACTTAATTTCACATATAGTTTTTTTTTAATAATAATTAGTTAAGTCATCCAAGCACAATCAATTTTCATCAAAAAGTTGATTATATTAAAAATTGTGTACTATACAAAAAAAATGAGAATAATTGGAGTTATGAAAATGCATAAACTAAGTTTAAATTATTTATTTAACATATTTATTGATCAAAAATTATTATTATTGATCAATTTTAAAATTAATACGAATATTTTTTATTCTGTATTCTATCCGTGTGTGTTTAACGTGTTCAATAAATTATTTTTTTTAGTCGAAAAACATTTTTTTAATGTTTTATAATGGTTTTATATATAATTACATTTACATAATATATTGAATATTGAAAGAGGGTAAAAATAATTTTGCAAAGAAATTAATTGCAAACATATTAAAAGTGGTTAGTAAGTGTTTGAAGTTCAGATAAAATGTAATAAAATATTGATAATTGCACTAATTTAGATGGATAAAATCTCAAATATTGATTTCATCTTTAATTTTTGAATATTTTTTTAAGTGAGTCGCCCATTGGTCCTAAATGGGCCAAAAAAAGTTTTAATTTGGCGACAAATTTATTTGTAAAAGTATTAAAAGTGATTGAAATTAGGTAAATTGTAAACTGTCAATAGCACTGAATTGAACAAAAATAAAAGTATGGAAGTGTCAACTGTTAGTGTTTGAATTTAATTAAGCGTAGGAAAAAGTTTTTCCGGAGCAGTTTAAAATATTCAAATTGTTAGCAGGTAAAGTAATTTAAGTTTTAATCGAAATTGAAATCTACAGCAGAAGCAGGGGTCGTGCGATCTTACAGAAACATTGGATGGTTAACATACCGCATTTCGAAGTCGTGTATCTCCTCGAGAGTCAGGTTATTGGTAACGTCCAACAGTTGCTTCATGTTTTCTTCGCGCTGCTTCTTCAGATTGTACGCTTTGGTGGATGGGCTCTCGACGTTCGAGATGAACTCTGACCCGTTCTTCAGGAGTATAGTGGATATGTTGCTGTGGTCTACGCTCAAGGACGGCTGCTGCACGACAATGGTTGCTTGTGGTATTTTCCTGCTGCCCGCGAAATGCACTGAACTATCCATCGGATTCGTGGTCACATTTATAGGAGAGGTGGCTGTGGCGTCCAGCTGGGCCCCCACCTCCCGCAGGCATTTGTTTAGGCAGACGCTGCCGCGCTTTTCCGCGGAGACGGGAACGAACAAACTGTCATCTTGGCATTGGTCCACCGTTTCGTTGAAGAAGTCCACCCGCAGATCGGGAAGCGGCGGCGTCATCCTGTACTTGGCGATGTGCTTTTCATCGTAAACGAATTTATCGCCCTTATACTTATTGGGAGAGTGGTGTCTCCGCGTTGATTTCTTGCGCCTCTGCTTCGGTGATGGACAGTCTTCATCGCGAATGGTCTCGATCTTGTCGAAGTCGTTTTGCGCGATCTTATAACTGTTCCTCCTTCGAGCTTCTATCTTCAAAGCTGTGAGCTGCTCTTCCATCAGCTTATCGACTTTGGAGGTATTCTCTAATCCTCGATGCCTATGCGACTGCGACGAAGAAGGTGAAGGCGGAGGGTTCACCTCGTAGGTGAATCTGGATTCATATTTCGCCGTCGGAGGTGTGCGCTGTTTGGATGCGGATGGCGGCGTGCTTGGAGCAGCCGTCGGCTGAAGGATAGCTCTAGCGCCTTTGTGATCTTCCAAGGCGTGCTCTGAATTCAGGTAGTCCAGAGGGTCGTTCATGTCCATGCTATCCTCTGTCATGTCTCCATCCGTCGCCGTCATCGTCGTCACTATCGTGTTCGAGCTATCAGTACTTGTGTTTATGGTGGTCTCCGACGCCGTGCTCGAACCCATCACGATCACCTTCGGGACGTTCTGACCCTGCAAATAGAAAACAACAAAACTTCGTTAGTTGTACATTTCAATTGATTTCCTTCACATATTGTTCGCATTTAATTGGATTCAAGCAGAAATTGAAAACAACATGGAGCACCAATCCAAATGAATATTGAACGCGCACTGAAAACCACCCACGCTACATTTTTAATTTTATTTTTCCATTCCATACACGTTCATAGCCTGCACACACCCCTCGAGCGCCGAAGGGAAACGAATTAACCCAATTTTCAATACGTTAATGAACATACATAATCAAAACTAAAAAAAAAACATAATTTTAGATCTATAAATTAATATTTTGCCTACACTAATCGTAATATCATTAATAAGCATATACACTATACGTGTCAGACATGCCAACTACAATTTATACACTACCAATAGCAGTTCAAATCTTGCGTTAATTTTGAGACACCCTTTATAATCAATAATATCATGTCACAAAATTATTCATAATATTGGTCGTTTTGTGTTCCTTTACTATCTAACTTCCAATTATTTCATCATTTAATATAACTATATTGTCTCTTACAAACGAACAATTTAAATGGTTGTGATTAAATTTCAATTGAAGAATTTTAAAGAAATCTTGTAATTTAAGTAAGTATATATTTAATGAGACCTACGAATTATTTAAACATCAAATATTGAATCCATAAAGTGTACTTTTACTAGTCAGTGTATATACATATTAAATTATATGCATTTACTAACAATCAAATATAAACTTTAACTAGTGAAAGTATGATCAATTAAATGCATACGTTTACTAGTATGAAAGGGCATAACACATAGAACCATAGTTTAAGTGGTTGTAATAAGTAGAATCATGATATTTCCATAAGATCTTATAATCTTATATATTACTTTTAACAGATATAATAAAGAAGAGAATTTGTCGCTTCAGATTTTGTGCAAATAGTGGAAATGGTGCTCTCTAAAAGAGCTCCCGGCATCAGAAATAACATCAAAGAACGTGCATTTAGATATATCGTAAAAATGAAAATGATTAATGGAAACCGTGTTTCCTGACCCAGAAAGTAATAAATAAAAAAATAATGCAGATGACAAAATTGTAAATAACGAAAAATAGGGCGCAAAAAACTGTACTAAATGTTGTTTAATATTAAATAAATTTGAAATTATTTAAATGACTATTTAAAATAAACAAGTGTAAAATTGGAAGTAATGCGTAAATAAATACAACTACATGGTGCAAAGCAAAGCGAGATTAATTAGCGACATTTAATTATACATATTTCTAAATAAAAATTAGTACAAGCGCGTATAATGAGTAATAACTAATTATGTTAAACTAATTAAAATTAATAACGTACAAGAAAAAAAAAATAATTGGCACGGACGTAACAAAGCGCTGGAGTTGACGGCAGCACAACAAAATTACGTTGAATTTGATGTAACTGAATCAATTAAAATTTGCAAATCTGCGTATTTCAGTATTATTTTATAATTGGAAAATGTTAATAAAACAATGAGTGCGAGTAGAAAAGAATGCATATAATTCGGCGTATTTTTTTTTACCTGTGTTTTGTTATTGGTCTTTGTGGTGCAACGACCAGTCTTGAAATTGAGACGTCTTAGAGCCGAAGTGGCAGTGGTGATGAGGTCCTCGGGGGGTCGGGGAGATTTGGGGCCCGACTGCGAGTTTACTGTCATCCTGGGATTGTTGGGACTACTGTGAGGACTGCAGCTTCCTCCGGCTGCGGACTATAAAGATCCAGAAAGAAAGAAAAAAACGAGTTCTATAGACATCGAAAGAACGAGGAAACATCATAACTTCGTGAATTGTTCACAACGGAACAACACATCCAATCTTGTTCGCCGTCATTTGTGGAGTATTGGATAATACCATCGATAAAATTGAAAACCGCTTTGGCTTCTCTTTTCACTCGTAAGGAATTTCTTTAAGTTCGTTTAATATCGTTCAAAATTGATGTATTTCAGAAAGGATTATTCAATCGAAAGGTGACTGAAATTTTCAAAACTCGTTAATAAATATAAAATTATTAATCCTTTTTAAAACTTTCTTCGTTCACATTAACGTATAAGTATTTATTTGATTGAAGAGTAAATTTTGATGGACAAACAAAGCGAACTCTTTCAAACTTATAAAGTTCAGAATTAATTAACAAATACAAATCATCAATCGTTTTCTGGACTCGCTTCTCTCGATTAATAACATTAATTTGATTGCTAAGAGTATATTTGGATGAGCTATTAACATTTTCAGAATTCGTTGAAAAATACACATTTTCAATTGTTCCCATCAATATTAAATAGTAAAATCACAACAAATAATAAATTTCAGTCTAATTCAGACAAATAGTTGAAACAATACGAATAATCAATAAATAATAGTAATTTAAATTTAACTCATTTATCATTTCAATTAAACAATACGGGATTATTATATTCTGCGTAACAATGCGGCAATAAATATACAACTCCAGCTTAAATCTAATCCAAATACTGTGTTTTCCCCAACACTTAAATTAATCAGATTTATTTCAATGAATGTGAATTATTTCGGAATGAATTTCAATCTTCTTATAGAAATATATTCAAATTGTTTTAGTTCTAATGTTTTATTATATTTTCTATTCAATAAAATAATTTAATAAGTAAATAAATGTTAATTCCATCATATTTTTTATAATTTCAAGTGATTTCAGTGCTTTAGATTTAAAAGAAAATTAGTATTTAATATTTAGATGAAATCAGTTGTTTCGCAAGAATTCATCTAAAAATTGCTTCGACTAGAAGTAATCACGTCTCTTCCTATTAATAAGTTACAAATTTCATAGAAATTACAGTATTTCAGGATATGCTGTAACGATTTCTTACAATGAGCAGAATTAATTGATTCAGTATTGCTTTCATTCTGAAAATAGAAAATTAAAGCATTTTGATATATATTTCTAATTATATAAGATACACATTTCAAAAATATTTTATTTACAAAAATTCAATTAAAACGACAATAAGGAAACTAAAATTGGTGTCAGAATTCGCAGGAATTAAATCTAAAAATTGCTGTGATTTTGAAAGCCCGAATTAATCATACCTTTTCTGCCAACATGTTGTTTATTTCAGGTTTTTATTTCTTTGTACACACAATTTCAGTGTATACTTAAAATAGTATCTCTAGAATTATGAAATATAAAAATACTAATTTAATTTATTTACTTTTGTTACTGAAAACACTTTAAACAAATTTGTTGGATGCGAACATGAATTTTTTTATAATAGAATTTTACGGTTAATTCAATTTTCTTTGATAAATCATTTTATATTTCAGGAAGTTATTTTTCATAATTTTTAAAGAGCATCTTTTTTTAACAGAAACAACAAATACAAAGTTTTTGTTTGTATACATTTCACCAATTAAAAAGATTTCTTTCATTGTATATAACGTATATTCAAATAGTTATTTTTAAATCACGCATGTAAAAATTTTCAATTACATAAGTTTTAACAAAAGCGCACATTTATCACGTCTCTTTCTGCTAATCTGAGCGAGTTTCAAGATATTGCTACAACTCTATTTCAGTGTATGCTTCAGCCAATTTCTGAAAAGTCTGAAATGAACATCTGTAAGAACATTTTTTTCATTCCTTGGAAACGTGCGAATTTACACTTAACCTTAATGATTTTTTATTGAGAAATGGAGACAATTTATTTAATCACACCTATCTTTTGTATGTTTCAGGAAATTATTTCAGGTTTTTTTTTGCTTTATTTTAAGGTTTAATAATTCATTTTTTTTAAATAGATTTAATTTGTGAACTATTTTGAAAATGATAATTCAAGACTTTTTGTTAAGACAAAATAAGTCTTAAAAGAGTAAATCAAGAAAGTTGATTGTATATGTAAATAAATAATAATGACTAGAATAAACTTAGGTATGTAAAATGTTTTATAAAGCGGTATAAAAACTTTGTTCATTAAAATGTCTGAATGGATTGTAACGAGGGTTGTGATAAATTTGATGCTTGTTTACAACGAAACGACTTTTTCCGTCTGAATAAAATGGGACGTTCCCAAAAGGATAGCAGAGTTAGGTAGGCCGTGAAACGAAGAGAAGGGTAGTAAACAAAACAAAAACAAAATACGTTCCTAAACAGTTATTTCCGGTGTGGAAGGATGGTGGAGTTTTCCCAGAGCGACGAGTGTTTCTGAAGATCTGGTGAATCTTTATTGGCGTGTAAATCTCGTCGAGCGTAAGTTACATTCGTGGCGTGAAAATAATTCCCACTGACTCAGTACGCTAGTATCGAACATGAGTATACAAACAAGCTTCGCAGGTGGTCCAGTGTAGGAGATTCGAAATTCGGAAAAGTCGTATCGAAATTATGTCAGTCGGCTTTTCCTGCGAGAAGCCGTGCCCGGTCGTGCACGTAAAAATAGTCTTCTCGGAAACCGCGAACTCTCGCAGACTTATTATTGGGTGTCGCGAAAATTTTCAGGTTCAAGACAGTTCAGGTTCTGTCTCCTACTTTTCTGTCGCATTTATATTTACACGGACATCAGAAGGGAAACATTCGCGAGTTATCTAACGAAAATAAATAAACTCTCGGTAAGTCTATTTGCGGATTGTCCGGAGATTCAGACGGAGCGAGAGAATCTGACTGAAACCGTGGATCAGATCGAGATGAGGATAGTGCATTTCGTGCGCCGGGTACGATGCACCGCGATACGTGAAATATTTCAGTTCGCCGACACTTCAGGCCGCGTTTCCACACCTTTCTCAACCTCTCGTAAGTCGCTTTATACGATTTCTTTAAAACCAACTTCATATGTGCTATAAAAAGAGAAGCATTAGTCTACACCTTTCTATCTTGTAAATATAAGATTTTTGTGAAAGGTTTAGAAAAAAAAAACCTAAGCCTATAGCCTATAATATTAAGAGTATCTTTTGGTCTATGACAAGTTAAGAAGAAGAAAAAACATTTTAATAAATATTAACTTTTAAGTTAATCCCAATATTAATTAATTTTTCGGTTAACAAAATTACTCAAATCTTCAAATGTACACTGTACTCTCATCCCTCACCATCAGTTACATAACTGGTAATAATATTATAATGATAATATTACCACACTATTTAAAAAATCCCTTTTGTCCTCATTTGTGTTTAAATCTGAAACCGGTTTCCTAGAGATTCGAAAACCGGTTAAAAAAACGGTTTTTATGCAAACTGTAGTTAATACCATAACTAGTTATTCTATAAATTAACTAGTGAATACAGAAATAAATAGATGTAAGTCAAAGTTTCTAATTTAAATAATATAAAGAATAACTCATGATAAGTTACAAATATAACCTCTAAATAATAAATGATACCTTCAAATGTACACTGTACTCTCATCCTTCACTATCAGCTACATAACTGGTGTCTAGGGTCCAGGACATTCTTAATGTTATCCTCCAAGAACCGATACATTAATCGCCAACTCCCTTTTTTTCTTTTTTTAAATATTTTTGGCTAAAATTCAAATTTGTTCACGCCTTATGACACATTACCACACTATTTAAAAAATCCCTTTTGTCCTCATTTGTGTTTAAATCTGAAACCGGTTTCCTATAATAGTAGAGATTCGAAAACCGGTTAAAAAAACGGTTTTTATGCAAACTATAGTTAATGCCATAACTAGTTATTCTATAACTTAACTAGTGAATATAGAAATAAATAGATGTAAGTCAAAGTTTCTAATTTGAATAATATAAAGAATAACTCATGATAAGTTACAAATATAACCTCTAAATAATAAATGTTACCTTCAAATGTACACTGTACTCTCATCCTTCACTATCAGCTACATAACTGGTGTCCAGGACATTCTTAATGTTATCCTCCAAGAACCAATACACTAATTGCCAACTCCCTTTATTTTCCTTTTTTAAATATTTTTGGCTAAAATTCAAATTTGTACACGCCTTATGACACATTACCACACTATTTAAAAAATCCCTTTTGTCCTCATTTGTGTTTAAATCTGAAACCGGTTTCCTATAATAGTAAAGATTAGAAAACCGGTTAAAAAATCGGTTTTTATACAAACTCTAGTTAATACCATAACTAGTTAAATTAACTAGTGAATACAGAAATAAATAGATGCAAGTCAAAGTTTCTAATTTGAATAATATAAAGAATAACTGATGATAAATTACAAATATAACCTTCTAAATAATATATGTTACCTTTATCTTGTCATATTATATATTGCTTATTCATTATATAAAGTAGTATTATATGATAATATTTAGTATAAAATAAATAGATTTTGGTCGATAATTATAACTTGAGGTATATAAGGAATACTTGAAGGAAAGTTAATAAAAAAAAAAGGTAAAAATACCTTCCATTCCTTCCCTTGTAGTTCTCAGTTTACCCTACAGTAGCTACGCCACTTCAAAGTATAAACTAGTTATTCTCTATATTACCTATATAATACAGTAAAAAGTCGTATATAAATTGATTCTGGTCGAAGATTATAACTTAAAGAATATAATGGTGAATTATATTGAAAACCTTCGAATAAATATAATAATATTGCAGATATACTGCAATAATAAGTTTTTAATGAAACCTGTAGTTAATTTATATTATTTTAATACTTTAACTAAATAATATATATATAAACTACTCGAAATGCCATTGGCAAATTTGTCGACTAACTTAAGGGAAACCCCAGCAATATATTTTT